TTTTGTGGACAGTGAAAGATCTTAAGCAGAGAGGGGCATGATCTCGTTTGTGCTTTGTAAAAGTCTTATGGACTGTGGGTATAGAGGACTGGAGATTGAGACTATGTTCTAGACCAGAAAAGATAAGAACCTTACCAAGACAGTGACCATGAGGTCAAGGAGATCTGTGGAGGAGTTGGTTCTCAATTGGTTGTGTTGGATGGGCATTGTTGGATGGCAGGAATATGGCAGAACTGAATTCTATTTCTAAAAAGGCAATGTAGGGACAAACAAGAGGATGCACTCTTTTAGGAGTCTGCTTTTTAACATTTTTCAAAAAGGCGGTTTTATAAATTTGAAGGAACTTTGTGATCACTGTTATAAGACATTTCTCCTTAAAATGAGAAAATCTAACATTCTAGCAATGTATTTTGGTGCTCTGAACATTCATTATCATGTAGGATTGCTGCAAACAGGAGGACTTACTTTTCTTTCCATTCGTTTAACAACTTCTATTTGCAAAAATTTTGTGTAGTTTAATACAGAATAAATATGTGCTATTAAGTAACACTAAAAACAACACAAGAGAAGAAATCTTCTCTGGTTTTCAGTGCCTGACTACAATTGTTTTTCAAGAGGTACTAAAAGTTTGAGGAAAGTCCAAATTTCTTATTTTTAGCATCTTTTCTGGTGAATTCTCCTCCCTTATGTTTGCATAGTGATGGTAGAACCATCTGGAAATGATAGAAATAGCTGTTTGTTGGGGGGCAGGGGAGAAGGCAGCAGAGTTCCACTCTATGAATTGCTTTAGTTTCTCCAATTTAATAGCTTGCTGTCTATAAATCGTAGAAGTCACATGAAAGGTTGTGCTCTGAAATTTTTGCCTGTACATTTGAAATATGAAGTTCGTGGACTTTGATTTGAATATAGCTATTTCCTCCAACTACCCTTATGGAAAATGCTTAAATGTTAATGTAGCATTGAGGGAAAGATTTTTTTCTTTAGTATCATCTTTACATTTCAGAGCCTCCTGGCTTAAAAATATCCATGAAAGCAAATGTCTCTGGTAATCAGTCAATATTTCCTGAGAAAGAGTGGAAGATTCTTGCATTCTCTTGAAACCTGTAAAATTCTCGAACTAAAAAATATTTTTCAGGGCTATGCTAACCTCTTAGGTGTGAGAGATAAGACTTGGCAGGTTGGTGGGGGCGGGTGTGTCACATGGTGTAGCAGTGAAAGAAATTAGAGAATGAAAAGGCCTGACTAGCTGTGTGACTTTGACAAGTTCTTTCTGAAAGAACTTCAGTTTCAAAAGCATAAGGGTTGTACTTCATTGTCCCACTGTATCACGCTTAAGATTCTGGATTCGGATTCTTTATAGAGCCTATCTGTTTGAAAATAGAGCGTCTGACTAATCTAACTAATTAGCCATTCTATCCAGTACAAACTATATGTATTTGGGAGGTCAGTTTATTGTGAAGAGCTGAGGGTGTTTCCTTTGAGGCATTCACAAGGTAATGGAAGCATCAGGATTACTTTATCTACAAATGTCTAAATAATTTTCATAATTTGCTATATCCTTCTGCTGCCACCCATTGTGCAAACTGATAACACATTTAGGAAAGGCCACCTTTGTTTTTTGGTTTTTTAAATTTATTTATTTGTCAGAAAGAGAGAGAGAGCACAAGCAGCGGGAGCTGTAGGCAGAGAGAGAAACAGGCTCCCCACTGAGCAGGGAGCCCGATGTGGGACTCAATCCCAAGACCCCAGGATCATGACCTGAGCTGAAGGCAGACGCTTAACCGACTGAGCCACCCAGGCGCCCCAGGAAAGGTCACCTTAGAACAACCTTTTGTCAGATGGCATGGAGGATGCTAGAAGTCGTTGGTTGGCTTCCTTTCTGAGCAGCACAGTGACTCCTTTGTTTCCTAGATGTGATCGACACGGAGTTGTCACCATCTAAGTGGACTGAGCTTATTTGGATACCAGGAGGAATTTTTATTTATTCTCTATTAGTTGTAGATAAATTTCTTAGTCGTTCTTAATGGAAATTATGGTAGATCAACTCTGTTCTGCTAACAGAATCTCAGTTGGTCCCATCTCTTTACAATAGGAATTCACTTTTCCTTGTTCGAAGAGGAAGGAGTTTGGCCTAAGATGTTCTTTTAGTGTTGACTTCTTTCTAGGATCCTGTTTAGGCAACTGATGGTAAAGACCACTATTCACATGTCACCCTGAAAATACATAGAATCATGGTTGGGATTTATAGATGTTGTCATTAATATTAGTATGGGAAACAGTTGCTCTTTCATCTGAGTCACTGATGGACACTTGGAAAACTATGCTTGGAAACGTTTATATTCCACTCTTGGAAAGTGGGCAGAAGCCCACTCTTCTGCTCCAACAGTAGTTATACCTCCAGCTTGCAGTCGCCTGTGAAGGTGTCTGCTGTTGCCAGCTAGCTCTAAAGGTGGATGCTGGGAAATAAGCAGTCCTGGAGAGGACAGTGAGGGACATCCAGCCCAGGCCTGCGTGGGCATGTACCCTCTTACTTCACAAATCTTCTTAGTTGTGGCCCAGGTAAGGGAAATGACTTATTTACACGTGGCTCACTGGTGGCACAGCTAAGTCTAGACTGTTTCAAGACGTGACTTTGAAAACGGATTGAAGAAGATGGCAAGGGGATCTGCAAATCACACTCTGGTACTTCCCCTGTCTTCTGTACTCTGGAAGTGCCAAGCCTTACCATAGGCTCTGGTTGTCTTTTCAGGCACCCCTGTAAGAATATAGAGTTAGCTCAGTTGGTTAAACATCTGACTCTTGATCTCAGCTTGGGTCTTAATATTAGGGTCGTGAGTTTGAGCTCCATGCTGGGCTCCATGCTGGACATGGGGCCTACTTAAAAAAACAAAAAAACTATATTCTTTATTGATGGAATTTTTTTCTTAAGTTGCATCAAAGTTGTCTATATTTTCCCCTCAGTTCTAGTACTTTCTTGCTTTGTATGTTTCAGAAATTTTCATGTGCTAAAGGTCTCCATGTTAGCTGTCTGTCCAGTTATACCTTCTGCTTGCCTACTTGCTTTGGGTTCTTTTTTTTTTTTCCTGGAGAATGTAGTTTGATATTTATTTAGTATAAAAGGTTTGTGCACATTGTAACAAATACAATTTTTACAAATCCGTTTTGAAAAAAAAAAAGAATATAGAGTTAGGGGATAAGGGGGGAGGGTGTAAGAGGCAGAGCTGGGACCTTCATACCCCTGAGATGGAATGTCCCTGATGGGGGCGTAGAACTTCCCCTCCAGGAATTGTCCCTGTGGCTTAGGGAGGAAGTGGTGCTCTCTTTGTGCTGCTAAGAGGCAAGTAGGAACAGAGGGGCTGGAGGCTCTGGAAGCTCTGTCTTGTGACCTGGCACTAGGGGAGGCTGTCTGCCTGGCCCATTATGTGGAGTCACAAGACCTCCGAGGTACAGCTTTACAAAAGCCTGTTCTCCTCTCCTGTCAGAGCTCACACTCAGGGCACACTACCCATTGTCCGTTCCGCAACTTTAGGTGGATGGCCCTGGTTGTGATCTGGGGGCTACTCCAGTAATAGCCTTATCTCTGTCACTGAGTAACTAAAGAGGCTGCAAACCCACCTGTAAGAGTGGTTTTAAAAGTTTTGAAGATAGTGGAAAAACCCTGGAAAGTATAACTGTGCCCCAGAAAAAAACAGATTGTTCAGGGTCCTGCCTATCCCCTCATTAAAAAAGAAAAAAAAAAAAATTCTCAGTAGGTTGCCAGCCACTGCTGAATAGCCAAAGAAATTGTGGTTTTGAGCTGTTCGCTATTTCTAGAAACTTTAAAGTTAATTCCGAAGTAACAGGGTGGAGACCAAAAAAGGAAGAACACTATTTCATGGTGTTTTAGCAAAGGTAAAATATTTGCCTCAGGCTCAGGGCAGTCAGCTCTGGGGGAATGGCTGGTGCGAGGCGTCCGGCTCCTGGCGGCTGGGGGAGGACCTGGTCATTGCAGGTGGTGCTGACACGCACAGTTCCTTTCTCACACCAGCTCCTCTCGTTTCAGCTGACAAGTATTTCTTGAGCTCCTGGTAGACATGCAAATCGCCAGGTTAAGTACTGACCTCCCCTTTCGAGCTCATATTTGTTGTTAGCCAGCCTTCTGAGGGAACTTCAGTCTTCATTCAGTGGCCTTCACTCCCAAGTAACAGCTCATTTTATCTTTCAGATCTTTTTTTTTACTTTTTTACTTTAGAAAACATTCCTTTTGTTCATTTTTTTTTAAAGATCTTACTTATTTATTTGTCAGAGAGAGAACACAAGCAGGAGGAGTGGCAGGCAGAGGGAGAGGGAGAAGCAGGCTCCCTGCCGAGCAAGGAGCCTGATGTGGGACTTGATCCCAGGACTCTGGGATCACAACCCAAGCCAAAGGCAGATGCTTAACTGACTGAGCCACCCAGGCGTCCCTCCTTTTGTTCATTTGTTGTTGTTTAATGAGTTTATTTATTTATTTGAGAGAGAGAGAGAGAGCAGGAGGGAGAGGGAGAGAGAATCTGAAGCAGACTCCCTGCTGGGTGCAGAGACCGACGCAGGGCTCGATCCCACCACCTGAGCCAAAATGGAGTCAGAGGTTTAACCAACTGAGCCACCCAGGTGCCCCTCCTCTTGTTCATTTGTTAAAACTAATGGTCCTGATGTTGACTTCCAGGTTGAAAAAGTACTGTCAGTACCCCCTGATGACACCTTGTAAAGATTAACATATATTCCCTTACACCAGGTGAGGGTTGGCCTAGAAAAGCTTTGGGATATAGAAAATCCATCATGAGAATAAATCAGATGCCTGGGTCCTGGTCATAAACCTGCTCCTAACTAGTATGTGACCTCTCTTATCTAGCCACCACCTCGCCACTCCCCAGACGATCTCTAAAGACTTCAGCAGTTCTGAGCCTGATCAGTCTTCGCGTAATTACTTATGGATATGTGAAAATTACACCAGGCAATGATATGTTCTCTTTTCCCTACAGAGTGAAAGCTGCCCAGACTGAGTTAGGACAGCAAATCCTGGCTGATTTTGAGGAAGCATTTCCTTCCCAGGGCACCAAGGTATTGTTTTCCCTCCAGTCTTAGATGTTATCACCATTCTTGCCTAATTCACACTCTCTACCGTTACCATTCCAAAATTGTCTGCTGGCAGCTGTAAGTCTGTTTGCTAGAGGTTCGGGGTAATGAGACCATCCTTGATTTTAAATATCCCAAAGCAATGTTGATTCTTCATCTGTGTTCTTCCAGCATCAAAGAGTGAGGATTTATTTTGGTTTAATTTAATATGTGTCAAACCTAATATCTCGTCTGCCCAGCAAATTCCTTTTTTCTCATGGCTGTGTTAAAAAAAAATTTTTTTTCAAGCCGCAATGTTTTTTAGAATCGTTACATAACTTATTGGTTTCAGTTTGGTGAAAAGACAGCTGGGAGGAGCATCCACAGGCTTATGTAACTCTCTGAGTGACACAGTTAGGTGACTCACTTTTAATGACCAGAATCCTGTTCTTTGGGATTAATCCCTTTAGCTCTCGCTGGTGGCGTGGCTGTTTGTGTTGTGTCTGCGAAGGCCATGGTATTTCGCTTGTGAGCTATGGTTACACTTCTCCCATAACAAGCTTTGCCTCACTTGGCTGTCACTGCGCTTGGGTAACTGCTTTTAGCTCTATCTTTCAAACTGTAGCAGATGTAATCTTAATGCTTTGCATGTGTCGGGGAGAGAAGAACCTTCAGAAGCTTTTTTTCTCTATTATTTGAGCTATTTCAAGAGAAAGAATTATTCAACACAGAAATGAACCAAAGCACACACAGGCAAGCAGCGTTCCTCACTGCACTTCGTGGGTGGAGATGGGGATATATGTTCGTTTACTGAGCCAAGGAACGTTTCCTGGACCTGCTCTTTAATTCAATAACTGGAAATATCTTAATCATTTTTCTTTGTGCTCCATAAAAGAAACTTAGGAAGTAGGTGGGGCTAGCTGCCCCAGCTTTGTAGATTACTTCCTATGGGAAACCTGCTCTTGATTTGTTTTTGTTGTTGTTGTTGTTGTTGTTAAAGATTTTATTTATTTATTTGACAGAGACACAGCGAGAGAGGGAACACAAGCAGGGGGAGTGGGAGAGGGAGAAGCAGGCCTCCCGCTGAGCAGGGAGCTCAACGCAGGGCCTGATCCCAGGACGCAAGCCGAAGGCAGATGCCCAATGACTGAGCCACCCAGGCGCACCCCTGCTCTTGATTTTAATGTCTGCATATATTATGGCTGCCTTCTAGTAATCAGATATTTTATTTGTAAAACATGTTCCTTTCAGGACTTTGTATTCTTTATTCATTTGATATAATTGTGGGGAATGGATATTGGAAAGCCATTCTGTAAAAAGGGATTGCAAAATATTCACAAATTATAAACACCAGACTGTTCTCAGCCCAGGGTCTGCTTTACTATACTCTGGTATCTAGCCCAGTTTCAAGAAGTTTCAGAAAGATATGAATGAAGCCCAGCTTTATTGTTTAGAAGAAACTAATCATGACCTACTTTATGTCTTTTTCTCAGATCCTGCCAAGCAGATGAAGTTAAAATTGTTTTCTTTAACAACTTGCTTCCTTTTTCTGTGGCTGGGTAACTTAAATCTTTTAAGTTTTCTATTCTCCTTTTCAGTGACTATGGATTTTTCTTAAAGGCCTTGTGTTGCTATTCCTATTTCACAAATAGAAATCAAGACATTAAAATTGTACAAGGTAGCCTACTAAGTCCTTTTTAAATGAAAATATCTGAATCCATGAGCCCATCAGTTTCAGCTTCTGTGACTTCTCTATCAGATCAAACACTTTCATCCAGAAGCAAGAGGTGGGCAGTCAGAGTGCTCAGCAGATGACATAACAGCCATTCAGCACAGAGTGAGTCAGCATCTTAACAGTTTAGCTCTCAGGCAGCTTAGTAACACTTCTAAAACTCTTGAACTTCAGTCGAGACAGATATACTGTTGGACAGAGAATCATAAAGATTTGGAAGAACATTAATCATCACCTAATTGAAGTTCATTTTTTTTTCATTTATTTTTCAGATGAGTTTCAATAACTGCGCCAAAGCTACACAGCTATTTAGCCAAGCCACGAGTAGATTCCAGGTGTTCTTTTTGCTCTAGTCCACTCAGCCAACCATGTTCATTCAGTGAGTTACTATAAAGAAAAGTTCGGCAAGACTGGATTGCCCTCAGTAATAACAAAGGCCTTCCCATCATGATGTATCAATATGGCCCCTCAATAGCCTTCTACTGCCTTTCAGATAGATCAAGGGACTGATATCATAATATTTTACCTCTGGCTACCTGCCTGGGTAGTTGACTGTCAGCAAAACAGGTCTGGCAGTTTGGAACCTGGTTTTAGATTTTAAATGCCACTGCACTGTTTGGCACAAATACGGCACTTTAAGAACAGGAATCTGGGGTTGGAATCAGGGGAAAGTGGCACATGTGGAGTGAGACTGGTGTCCTTCTGAATTGTATGGCTCTTCACCAAAGTGATTTCAGTTTTTGTATTCAGAAAGCAAAATTTCCTATTGCTGGCCCTGTTTCCAAAATGTCTCCTTGCTGATTCACAGAGTAGCTTTTATATTGACTACTATGGACTAACTTAGTAATTCTTTCATCAAGTAACAAGTAACTAAAATATCCATCCACAGCAAAAGAGTAAGTGTCAGGGGAGTGGAGGTAATAATAACTTCAAGAGAGGAACAAGAAGTAGCAGCTGTCAGAGGCCGTGAGATTTAAAGATTGTTTCTGGCTCTTGAACTGGTGTATGTTGTTTGTTTCACCAGAGGCCAGGAGGACCCAGCAATGTCCTACGAGATGCATGTCTGGTTGCTAATATTTTGGATCCTAGAATCAAACAGGAAATCATCAAAAAGTTTATTAAACAGCATCTGTCAGAATATCTAGTACTTTTTCAAGAAAACCAAGATGTAAGTATTGACCAAATGAAATCAATGTTCAGTTTGAATTTTACTGAAAATTAAATGCCCTAAAGTCTACTGATTCATATTTTAGTAGTATTACTGCCTTAAAATGTTGATGGTTATACTGTGACTTTTAGAGGCTGACTGTACAGTTCAGTGGGTCTTAACCATTTTGAGGTCACTGACCCTTTGGAGAAATTAATGGGAGCTACAGATCGTCTCCCCAGAAAAATGTACCTATGCATAAAACTTTGCATATTCAGTTTCAGGAAATTTACAGATCCCTGAAGTCTAATCGTAGACCCAAGTTAAGATCCTCTGGATTAAGTGGAAAAGTAGCCTAGATTCTTTAAAACTGAGAAATAGGGATGCTTGGGTGGCTCAAGAGCAAGACTCTTGATTTTGGCTCAGGTCATGATCTCAGGGTTGTGAGATCAGTCGGGCTCTGCTCTGGGTGTGGAGCCTGCTTGGGATTCTCTGTCTCTCCCTCTGAAAGAAAGAGAGAAAGAAAGGGAGGGAGGGAGGGAAGGAAAGAAGGAAAGAAGGAAGGGAGGAAGGAAAGAATAAGGAAGGAAAGAAGGAGAAATAAAGCAAAATTGTGAGAAAGTAAGAAAAAGAAAAATGAAATAAAATTGTGAGAAAGAAAGAGATTGGTTGTGTTTTTCTTGGTTCTGTGTTTTTGTTTATTTCCTTAAACTGTGAACACTGTTTCTGAGCACTGGGTGAATTTTGTTCCCTACCTTCCTAAGGTTGCCTGGCTGGACAAAATCGACAGACGCTATGCCTGGATAAAACGCCAGCTGGTGGACTATGAGGAGAAATATGGTCGTATGTTTCCACGTGAGTGGTACATGACCGAGAGGATTGCAGTAGAATTTTGCCACATCACAAGGTAGATTCCAACTCTACTGGTTTTATTGTTAATTGAAATTGGTTGGTTGAAATCAATCCCCTGGTCTCTAGGGGTTCCATCTTGTCTTCTGGATTGGGTACCACTTCCACTTTTTGTTGTTGTTGTTTGAGAGTCATCATTTTAATGAGAACTTCTTCACCTGTGCTGGACTCTCTCCCTTTAGAAGACCCTTTTCCTGTTGAAAGTCAGATTTTATTAACCCAAAACCAACCCCTAAACTCCAGCTGCAGCTGTATTCTAACTTCTCCAACTTCAGAGTTCCAAACCTAGAGGAGAGGACATGTATGTGGAGGAAGAGTAAAAACTTCTAGGAAAAAAGTGAAAAAGGGTACACGAGAGTCCTGAGCTAGTAGCCTGTAGTCAGAGCACTTTTTTTTTCTGAGAAGTAATATATATAAAACACAGCAGCTTCATCTGCTCCTGTCTTTGCTCTAAGACTTTCCTGTAGCCTGACCCTTGCCTTGAACAGCCTGCCTTCTGGACTTAACCTAGTCAAGGCTCATCCACCAGATTTCCCTGTTATTCATCACGCCACATTTTCTCCTGTGTCTCTATTATATATATCAATATACAGTGTATATATCTATCATCGTTTTGCTTCTCTGACTTGCTACATACATCGTTCCATAGGGACAGGGGTAGTTCTACTTCAGTGACACTCAGGAAATACTTGCTGAACAAATTTCCTGCCCCTAATGCAGTGTATTTGTAGTCTTTGGATAGTTAATAATATTGGCATCTGAATGTTCTAAGCATCCTAAAGACCTCCTGTCATTCATCCTGTCTCTGCAGTTTCATGAATGTAGCCCAAGGCCAGACAGTCCATTTATATTGAAGAGATAAAACCCAAGAAAGTTAGATCGGTGTGTCCATGACAAAGCTAAAGCTAGAGTCAAATTTTTTTTATTTTTTACTTGCAGCTGTACCACAACAGTGGTAGTAACTGGGTTTTATTAGTTATCTGTGGCCTTCTTTTTTTTTTTTAAGATTTTTTTAAAAATTTATCATAAAGAGAGAGCATAAGCACAAGGAGGGGCAGAGGGAGAGAGAGATAAGCAGACTCCCCACTGAGTGGGGAGCCCATCGTGGGGCTTGATCCCTGGACCCTGAGATCGAAGTCAGACGCTTAACTGGCTGAGCCACCCAGACACCCCAGTTATCTGTGCCCTTCTCACAGTGCACAATTACATTAACTCCAGGCTAAATCTTTAAAAGTCCCATGTCTAAGCATAACTCAGCCACCTTAGAATAATTCAAGGTATGCATCTTTCTTAAAATCAGAGAATATAATGAAGTTGTATGCTTTAAACACATGGGGGATGGATTTCTTAAGGGATATTGGCTATTAGCTTCATTTTTTTTAATAGACTTTATATTTTAGAGTAATTTTAGGATCACAGCAAAATTGAGAGGGAGATACAGAGGTTTCCCCTACACTCATGCCCCCACACATGCATAGCCCCCCTACCATCAGCACCCCCCACCAAAATGTACATTTGTCACAATTGATGAACATGCATCAACAGATGATTATCACCCAGAGTCCACAGTTTACATAAGAGTTCACTCCTGGTCTTGTACATTCTGTGTGGCTCTTGTTCTCAGAAGCACGTGTGCTACCATAGGTTTAGATGACCTTTAAATGTTGATTCAAGGACAATTGTGTTTGTCACGTTTGAAGTCCTGATTAGCAAAGAAAGCAAATTCCTTGAGAAATTGGTAACTAATTCTCTTTAACCTACAGTTCAGTGACTTGCAAACTAATCTGTGAAGACTGCAGTCTGCAGGAGACTGGGAGTATGCTGAAGCCACAAATCTGCCCTCGTTGTGGCAGCTAATGGCTGTGTTGCGGCTGTTGCTGCCAAGCTTTCATTGTTGGAATTTTGGCTAAAATCCTACAGATACATAATTTCCAAAGAATCGCAGAGACTCTTTGTTTGGTTTTGCCATTTCTTTGTATGGGAAAATAACCATGGCTCAATACTTCCAAAGAGCTCTCAGGTCACTGGTCCCTCACAGCTCCCATTCTGAAGCACAACACTGGAGTGGTACGTAAGCTTCGCAGGCACTACCCACCTGAGCACGTACATGTCACTTTTCACATGGGGATTCTAGTCTCTCACGTGTATTTCCGGGGCTCCTGCTCTCTGGTTGAAGAGATGGTGATTGAGCTCTTTGGAAGAGGGGGCTTTGTAATTTAGTAGTTAATGACTTGTGACGTTATATAAAATATATGCATTTTTATAAAATACTGAGTGCTTTAGATATATATTATTAACAGATTATAGAAAGGTTGAAAGATCTAAAAATAGTAGTGACCATGTAAACAAATCGATCTCTCCTTAATCCTTGATTTTTTTTTTTTTGACTACTGGATAATTTCATCTTCAGATTCTTAGAGTATGTATTTCTATTCTCCAAACAGTAAACTTGGTAACAGACCTCAGGATTTGAAATGACCACATATTTTTTTTTTTTTGATACAAGCTAAAACCGTTTGCTTTATCCTATCTTGAACAGTTTTTTTTTTTTTGACAACATTCTTATCTCTTTATTTTGAAGGACAGAACTTGCCAAGATTATGCGTACCAGAGCTAAGGAAATTGAAGTGAAATTGCTTCTTTTTGCTATTCAAAGAACGACTAACTTTGAGGGGTTTCTCGCCAAACGCTTCTCCGGGTGCACCCTGACGGATGGAACTCTGGTAGGACCTTCCTGAGAGAGGCTGGAACACAAAATCAGGGGGTTGGGCGGTTGGGCTTCAGTTCAGTCTTTCCTAGTTTGGTGGTTCCATTCAGTGGCTCGAGTGCTCAGTCCCTCATTCCAGGGATTTCACTAAATTACGTGAATGGTGATGCAGAGTATTCTATGGATTTAGTGGTTTCTCTTATGCAGTATTTCAAGTTTTTAGAACATCCTGTCATTTATCTAAGTAGTGGCCCCATTTTACAGACTGGTAATTTTGTGAGTGAGAGTATGTGGAGAAGCAAAGAATTATTTTTTCATTTTATTCTGGTATTTTGTTTGAATTTTTCTTTTCCTTTTTTTTTTTTTTTAAGATTTTATTTATTTATTTGACAGAGACACAGTTGGGAGACGGAACACAAGCAGGGGGAGTGGGAGAGGGAGAGGCAGGTTTCCCGCGGAGCAGGGAGCCCGATGCAGGGCTCTGGGATCATGACCTGAGCTGAAGGCAGACACTTAACGACTGAGCCACCCAGGCGCCCCTGAATTTTTCTTATACAAATGCATTTACATAGTTTTTTAAAAATACTTTTTGTATTTACATGCTTGTTATTTTTCAGTTTTTTTTTAAATGAGGGAAATGAGCCAAAACAGTGACTGCTTAAAGAATTCTAATGTGGAATCCACACAGAATAATAGCTAACATTTTTTGAACATCCTCTGTGTGTCCCACACTGTGCTAGGGGCGTTTGCCTGTGCTCAGTCACTTTGCTTCATCAGCTATAGGGGGGAGGTGTTACATTCATTTCAAACTTAACAGTGGTCTCATAGCTAATATGTAAATGCAGAAAAACAGCTACTCTGGATGAAGCAGGGAAGTAAGAGCAGAGATTGGGTCTGGAGTCCTGTTCACTTGTTCACCCGTCACCTCTACTACCTTCTCTAGCCCCCATGCTCTTAGTCCTAAAATCCTGGGACTTCAGTGGAATCCCCTCTTTGCCTCCTTGTAAGATCTGCCTCAGAGTAGGCTGGTCCCTCAAGACACTGGGCTGAAGAGTTGTGGCAGCAACACTCAGTTTTAAGGCAAGACCGTAAGGCCGTATCTACTTAGGGCCAGTCATGACTGTATTGAAATAAATACAAGGAACCATAGAGCATTGTTTCCATACTAAAAAAATAAAAATACATATGTATACTCCTCTGCTTGTTACCTCATGTTCAAAACTGGTTTATTTTAGTAACAAGGAAAAAAATAGGCCGCGAAACAAATTAAAATGCCCTTAAATAAGATGCAAGTCACAAAAAAAAATAATAGGTAATGGCAATGCGATTGAAAGAAGAATGTGTCTCTCTCCTGAAAAGTATTTGGTTGACTTCAGCAGTGCCTGACAGCTTCATGTTGGCCCTCCTCTCTGCCCTACCCGAGCTGTGTTTCTGGCCTGGTTTCAAACAGAGACTCATGCAGCTCTGGGTTTAGCCCTACAGAGATCTGCCTGGGGACAGGAGGTTTAAGCATTGAGCATAGACCCCGCCTGGGAGTGCGCCCTTGTGCACCCATGGCTTCCAGCTGGGCAGGGTCAGAGGAGCCTAAGGACGGGTTCTGTGAGCCAGTATTCCAGTTAACTGTATGGCAAATAGATCCCGATGAAGGCTGCTTGAATAACGTTAGTGTCAAATACCTGTTTTGAACCCTTCATCTCCTCCCTTGGCTGGGCCCTACTTCCTAGTGATTTTGCTTTTACATTTAGGGAGCTATAGGATTACAGGGGAACAAATGGCCCTGTTGTATCTGATGACCAGGATAGCCTGTAAACTTGGATGTGTCCCAGGACACATCACGTCTCATTTGTGCTAGGAAATGCCTCACAGGCCCAAAAAGGTAGAGTAATGTGGGCTCCGTCTGGACAAGGTGAGCCTATTGAACAGGATAACCATGTACAGACCATGAAAAACTGGCAGGAGCTGTTTGAAGACCACGCTTTTTTTTTTATTGAAAATAGGTATCGGAATGTCAGAGTGGCAGCTGTTCCACAGTCAGCACCTTCTGTCTGAGGGAGGACAGGGCTTGGAGATGCTTGTTTCTCAGGACCGTGTGCTCTCTGCACTTGCGCTCACTCTGCAGGGCCAGGCTCCTGGACTGAGCCTCCCATCTCCTGGCACGTGCTGCACTCTGTGGGGTCAGTCATGGTCAGCTGGGAACACGTGAGCCTTTTGGGTTTTTTTGTTTTGTTTTGTTTTTTCTGTCTTCTGTTTTGGAAATTTTCTGGCATAATTGATTTATAAATTTCTCCAATTGTTCAGTTGTTGCTTCTCCCTATCAAGTTTGCAGAGAGTTTTAGATTACAACTCCTTGGCCAGAAAATCCTGCTAAGCCATAAACTCTTCATTCTCCCCTACCAATGGTCAGTTATCTTTTCCACAGATTTCTCCGAATCATTCAACTTCTTTAGATCAGACTCTTCCCCTGGACCACTCTTTGTCCTAGTTACTATGACCCAGCAACCATTCTGCATTGCAAGTCCTGGCAGTGGCTGATCCATAACCTTTAAGGATTTTCCCTCCAAGGTTAGTTTCTAGAAAGGCAGCAGAACTCCTGTGGTCTCCTCAACAAGGCAGGCCAGGTCTTAGAGAATCAGTTCACTGCAGCCCTGCCTTGGGAATATGTAAATGCCGTGCTCCTCACTGTAGGTGATGTTCACTCTGAGCCTGGCCTGCCTTCACCTTGCTGTGGGCCAAGTGGGGCCACACCTTCACCTGCAGCCTGTAGGCCTCAGGACCAAGGCCGCTGGTGGATTAGTCATGGCCATGACCATGCTCCCAGCAGTGCTGGGAAGAGGTGGCCTGGGCTGGGCTGGGGATCCAAGTGGCCTGACACCGCAGTCTAGCTGCTTGGTACCCCACCTGAAGACTTGCTGCTCCTTGTCTCCTTACCTCCTCCCTGTGCTGCCTTGCTTTTTGGAAAATTGTTTGTGGTTACCATTTTATTTCAGGGCATCAGAATAAACTACAGAATGAACCAAGGTATATCTTGCTACCCTGTAGCATACACCAAATTTCATAGAAGGTTGTGAATTCCTTCCAAAGTTAGATAAGTCAGCCAGGGAGTCATGGTGACCAAAGACCCTCCCACCCACCCCTTCTCACTGCACTATTCAGATCCTTTTAAGCCCCATGCTGACTGATTAACAATTAGGGTGAGCTGGAGAGATGATGAACTCACCTGGAAGGATGTGCTACAATCCAGCTCCTCCTAACTGATCAATGTGATGCGTCATCTTTGGCTCTTTTTTGACAGATGCAACTTTGACATCTGATACAGATGGAAACTGAAAGAACATTAAGGACAGGGCTCGTCTTGTTTTATGGTACTAGCCCTAACATATTTACAGTGCTGCCATTGCTTTTTGCTAATTGCCTAAACTCCTGGCCCTTAAGAGGGATTCAAAATACTCTATAAAGTAAAATGCCTTGAAATTAAAAGCAAATGTCTGGATGTGATTTACCTACACCTACATGCATTCTTAGTAACTCAATGATTAGATTCAAGGTAAACATTATATTCAACCTCTATGAAAACAGAGTAGGTTGGGTAAGTTTTTGTAACAGGCTCATTGAATTTGGAAGTTTTTTTTTTTTAATAAAATTGAGTTTTATTAAAAAAGCATTGTGGTGGGCGCCTGGGTGGCTCAGTCGGTTAAGCAACTGCCTTCGGCTCAGGTCATGATCCTGGAGTCCCGGGATCGAGTCCCACATCGGGCTCCCTGCTCAGTGGGGAGTCTGCTTCTCCCTCTGACCCTCCCCCCTCTCATGCACTCTCTCTCTGTCTCTCATTCTCTCTCTCAAATAAATAAATAAAATCTTAAAAAAAAAAAAAAGCATTGTAGTCTGAGAATATGCAGGGAATAATCTCAGTCTTTTGGTATCGGTTGAGACCTGATTTGTGACCCAGTATATGGTCTATTCTGGAGAAAGTTCCATGTGCATTCGAGAAGAATGAGTATTCTGTTGTTTTAGGATGGAATGTTCTGTATATATCTATGAGGTCCATCTGGTCCAGTGTGTCCTTCAGAGCTCTTGTTTCTTTGTTGATTTTCTGCTTAGATGATCTGTCTGTTGCTGAGAGTAGAGTGTTGAGGTCTCCTACTAATAACATATTATTATCAATATGTCTGTTTATTTTGGTTAACAGTTGACTTATATAGTTGGCTGCTCCCATGTTGGGGGCATAGATATTACAATTGTTAGATCCTCTTGTTGGATAGATCCTTTAAGAATGATGGGGAGCCTGGGTGGCTCAGTCATTAAGCGTCTGTCTTCGACTCAGGTAATGATCCCGGGGTCCTGGGATCGAGCCCTGCATCGGGCTCCCTGCTTGGTGGGAAGCCTGCTTCTCCCTCTCCCACTCCCCCTGCTTGTGTTCCCTCTCTCACTGTGTCTCTCCCTGTCAAATAAATAAATAAAATCTTTAAAAAAAAAAAAAGGAATCATATAATGTCCTTTGGTATCTCTAACTACAGTCTTTAGCTTAAAATCATTTGTCTGATATAAGAATTGCTACCCCAGCTTTCTTTTGAGGTCCATTGGCGTGAAAAATGGTTCTCCATCCCTTCACTTTCAATCTGGATGTATCTTTAGGTTCAAAATGAGTCTCCTGTAGACAGCATATGGATGGGTCCTGTCTTTTTATCCAATCTGCAACCCTGTGCCGTTTCATGGGAGCATTTAGGCCATTCACGTTGAAAGTGATTATTCAACAGACAAACGGATAAAGAAGATGTGGTCCATATATACAATGGAATATTACTCAGCCATCAGAAAAGATGAATACCCAATATTTGCATCAACATGGATGGAACTGGAGGAGATTATGCTAAGTGAAATAAGTCAAGCAGAGAAAGACAGTTATCATATGATTTCACTTATTTGTGAAACATAAGGAATAGCATGGAGGACATTAGGAGAAGGGAAAAATGAAGGGGGGTGAATCAGAGGGGGAGACGAACCATGGAAGACTGTGGA